TAAGGAGAAACTCACTAGTGGTACCATTTGTACTCCTTTTGTTCAGTCTGGTGAACAACTTGCTGACATTCTCACCAAGGGAATTGGGAATAAACCGTTTCATGACATATTAGGCAAGCTGGGCATGAGAGATATCTTCGCACCAGCTTGAGGGGGAGTGATAGCATATTATATTATAATCTGAGCTTTTGTGGTTTGTAATTAGTCTATGCCCTCAGGGCTCGACTTGTAATTGTCTCATCTTGTAAACCCTAATCTTCATTTATAAATAGGGGGTGATATTCTATCATACCCTAAGCTGGTTACCCAAGCGTCAGTTCGGTATAGATAAAGTCAGCAAATTAAACAAGTCTCTATACGGCCTCAAACAATCCCCAAGGGCGTGGTTTGAACGCTTTGGGAAGGTTGTAAAAAACCTTTGATTATGGTGGAACCAGTTGTTCTTGCACCCTCCTCTTTTACTGGGATAGAACCCACTGTCACCAAGAATAAGGACGGGCATGTTTATGTCTGGGACATAGACAGAAAACAAGTTAACTGGATACACAAGACTGTTTCTGCTACTCCACTGCCATCTCCTGCTTCTGATGAGAGTCTAGGTAACTTTGAATCTCTTGAGTCCATTGATCTTGGTGTTCCTATTGCCAAGAGGAAGGGTGTGAGATCTTGTACTCAACATCCTATCTCACAGTTTGTATCATACTCTCATTTGTCATCCTCATATAGAGCGTTTGTGTCCAATATTTCCTCTGTTAGCATTCCTAACCATTTTTAGGATGCTCTTGCTACTTCTGAGTGGAAACTAACCATGATTGAAGAAATGAAAGCACTTAGGAAGAATGGCACTTGGGAATTGACTAAGTTACCTACGGGCAAACGACCTGTAGGATGTAAATGGGTATATACTGTGAAACACAAAGCAGATGGGTCTATTGAGCATTACAAGGCAAGACTTGTTCGCACTCGTGGCTAAGATGAATTCAGTCAGAGTACTTTTCTCTCTAGCAGCTAATCTAGATTGGCCGCTTTATCAGTTTGATGTCAAGAATGCTTTTCTCCATGGTGACCTCGAAGAAGAAGTATATATGGATATTCTTTCGGGTTTTGAGGATCATCAAACAGAAGGCAAAGTATGCAAACTTCGGAAGTCATTATATGGTCTCAAACAGTCTCTAAGGGCTTGGTTTGAGAGATTCACTCAGGCTATGTTTAAATATGGCTTCAAACAAAGTCAGGCAGATCACACATTGTTTGTGAAACATTCCTTACGTGGTAAGACTACAGCACTTATTGTTTATGTAGATGACATAGTTCTTACAGGCAATGACAGTGGGGAAATGCCTCTGTTGAAGAAATATTTAGCTAATGAGTTTGAAATCAAAGACTTGGGAAGCTTGAAGTATTTTCTGGGAATTGAAGTTACTCGCTCTAAGGATGGGATATTTATCTCACAGAGAAAATATGTGCTTGACCTGTTAAAGGAAACTGGGATGCTTGGCTGCAAGGCATGTGCCACTCCACTGGAACCCAATTAGAAATTGGGGGATGATGAAGGAGGAGAAGTTGTGGATAGGGGGAGCTATCAACGATTAGTGGGTAAGCTCATTTACCTATCTCACTCCCGTCCTGATATTGCTGTTGCTGTCAATGTGGTTAGTCAGTTTATGCATGCTCCTCATCAGATTCACTTTGAGGCTGTCATGAGAATCTTGAGGTATTTGAAGTCTGCTCCTGGTAAGGGTCTGTGTTTTTCAAAGTATGATCATCTTCGTGTAGAAGCCTATATTGATGCTGACTGGGCTGGGTCAGTAACTGATAGGAGATCGACTTCAGGGTATTGCACATTTGTTGGCGGCAACCTAGTTACTTGGAGGAGTAAGAAACAGAATGTGGTTGCCAGGTCAAGTGTAGAAGCTGAGTTTAGAGCTATGGCACAAGGTGTGTGTGAACTTTTATGGATCAAGTTATTGTTGAGTGATCTAGGTATTGATCAGACGGACTCCATGCGGTTATACTGTGATAATAAGGCCGCCATCAACATCGCTCACAATCCAGTTCAACATGACAGGACAAAACATGTTGAGATTGATCGCTACTTTATTAAGGAAAAACTCACTAGTGGTACCATTTATACTCCTTTTGTCCAGTCTGGTGAACAACTTGCTGACATTCTCACCAAGGGGGTTGGGAATAAACCATTTCATGACATATTAGGCAAGTTGGGCATGAGAGATATCTTCGCACCAGCTTGAGGGGGAGTGTTAGCATATTATATTAGCCGAAAGTGTTAGCATATTATATTAGCCGAAGTTACACTAGGGTCTGTAATCATTTTATGCCCTCAGGGATCATCTTGTAATTGTCTCTCTTGTAAACCCTAATCTTCATTTATAAATAGGGGGTGATATTCTACCATACCCTAAGCTGGTTACCCAAGCTTCAGAATTGTATTTGACTCTTGAAATTCCCAAAATGAAGAACAAATATGAGTAAAAGATTTTCCTATATCTAAAATACTCTTTACTCTTCACCTGACCCGAGATAATTGGGAGGTGTGTACAATTATGATCTAAGGGGATCATGAGTGCAGATAGACATGTGGTTTGGTGCAATTTAATTGAGCATTTTATAGTTTATTTTGTTCTTGGAGATTGTGTTATCTTCATTTAATAGATGACTTGCCAAAATTTTTATTCATTTATTTATTTATTTTTCACTCTAGTTGATATGAGAAATATATTTTAGAAATAACTATTTAATAGATCCCCGTATTCGTATCCAAATTTGGATCCATATCCACGTATCTTCCATTTATAGTTTTGAGGTGTCCGACCCCTAGATATGCACCTGTACTTGAACTTGAGTCCGTGAGTCCGTGTAATATAGTAGAGGAGAGAGAGAATGTAGACAGAAAAGAGATACATATAGAGATATAACATAAATGAAGAGAGAGGGACTAGCGTCAGCCCCGAAATTACAGGGTCCGACCTATGATAAATAAACTCAAATAATAATAACAAGGCAATAATAAACTATAAACATAATAAAATGGAATCTCTCTCATATATATACATGGTAATCATTCGATACATGGGGGTTTTCAAGTACAACATGAAATTCAAAGTACTAACTATCAATTGAAATTAAAATGTCATTTGGCTTACATCAACAAATGAAAAAGGGTGTAACTCTTAATATATACTGTACGAGCACGAAATAATGTTCTCGTATAATCCTGTTGATCAAGTCTGCGCTCCTCCAAATGTCGTCGCTTTACTCCCTGAAAACACAAACGTGAGCTAGCCGGCGGGTGTGTGCCGGATACCTCTCCAATGCCTAAGTCAGCAAAATAGACAAATAGACAAAGCTTTGCGTATTCGAGAATTAAAGTTGTGATACCTGTACATAGGTTATGTTGAGAGCTTTTATTGTTTTTGCTTGGCACAATCCCAGTAGGACTCTTATTCCTCAGTGTAGAGTCCTCCTAGGAATCACATTCCTGAAAGATAATGCTTATCCTTCAACACCCTCCTCACTGCTTAAACCAAGTGAGATGGTTTTACCACGGTTGCATAACAATATGACTGAGCTAACACTAGCCCATTGTCATACTTATCCAGCGCCTTCATATGCAACACATAGCTCGGCTCTTGTTCTTTGGTACCTCGGTTTTGTCTGTTTAGACCGAGCTAACTGCAGCAAGCTTTGACCGAGTTAACAAGGGCGAGGTCCACCTTATGAAGCCCAAACACCTCAGCTCATAACTCGGCCCAGATTTCTCCTGGCCCAAGCTCGTTAGTTTTTAGCCCGAGCTACATCAACTCTTATCTCGGTCTGATGTGTGGCCCAATTTCCAAAGAAGCCTCTTTCTTAGCTCGGCTCAATTTATTTATAAATTACCCTCTCTTATACATGTGGCATTCTGCCTACAAATAAAGTGACCACAATCAAAAGAGCTCTTCTAGCTCGTACTCATCTTCCATGCCAACTCATGGTCGCGGTTCATCGTCGGTACCTGAAAAGATTTTAACGCGGGATGAACGTCTAGTCCAGTAGGCAAAATCTTTAATTCCAATTAATAAAACTCTATACATGTATATGATCACTATGCTCCACATTATACACATGTAATATTTTATTTCATTTATTTTTTATTTTTCCATTTTCATCCAAAATACCTAAACATTTCCATGACCTCTTCATTCTATCTCAAAATTTACATCCATGTTTACTCAACGAGTCTATTCAATCATAATAACTTCCAACACTAACATGATTCAAAATGAGTCTCGCTACATGGACATAACTCATAATAGATCTCAACACGCACATATAT